AGACCCTGCTGCCCTCTATGCCGGGGAAACAGGCTTCAGCCCTGAGCCAACGCTCAGTCCAGGTCCCCCACCTGGATCCAGGCAGTTCCCCAGCATTGCTCAGAAGCTCTGAGGGCCCTCTTCTAGTCTGGGGAGGTGAGAGAAGACATTGATATGTCACCTTCTCAGGCCTCTCCGGGCCACCCTGTCTAAGGACGTCCCACCTTGTTATTGTCTATTGCTGCACTCAGTTCCTTTCCTTCTTAGGGCTTATCACAGTGTATAACTAGATATATACACTCATTTCTTTACTTGCTTACTTGTTACTGTCTGTCTCCTCCACTAAAGTGGAAGTTCCCTGAGGTCAGACGCTCAGGCCTATGTGTTTACTGCATCTCAGTGCCCAGTACCTGGCACCCAGCAAGGCGAGTAAGCCTCCCGATGAATGGATGAATAGCTGAATGACTGGCTCAGTAAATGGGGCCTCCTGGCTGCCAACATCACCTTTATGGTAGATGCTCAACAGTTCCAGGATTTCATCAGGGAGGAGAAAGCAGGATGTAACAGAAAGAGAAAGGTCAGGAAGCCTAGAACCCGGGGCGGCAGCGGGGGCGGGGGGGGGGGTCAAAGCCCAGTTAGCGTCCACATCAGCCCCATCTGGCCCACTGCATCATGCCAAGTGTGGATGTGCGCACACATGCACAGAGAGGATGCAGGGATAAGTCCTGGACTGGTCTCGAAAGGCTTGAGTTTTGTCCTAGATCTTCCTCTTCATAGCCCCGTGTCCTTGGACAAACCACATACCTTTCTGGGTCCCAGCTTCCTCAAAAGAAAAAATGGGAAGGTTAGCCCTGATCAATGGTCCTCAAACACAGCTTTGCAGTAGGATCACCTGAAGCACATGCTAAAATCCAGATTCGTAGGCCCCAACCCTGCAGATTCTGGGCTGGTCTAGAATGGGGCCTCAGGAACTTTTTTTAACATCCTCCCTGGTGACTGAAGCAAATGGTTCAGGAACTTGCATTTGAGGACCACGGATGAGATCGTGCTTTTCAGCAAACATCTGGACTTCTACTAAAAAGCCGCGCCTACACCGGTATACGTTCCCCCAAAACATGTCCATATTCCCACACAGAGCCACAAACTGCAAAGGTGCACAACTATACAGATGACATACGTCTGTACCACACGTGTGCGTACTCCCCAAACACCCAACAGAGAGCCACCACACGGATCCCAAACTGCCACGGAACCACCATATGTACATACCCAGCCCAGGGGCACACGAACAGACCCCCACCACACACCCGGCGTGTGCACACACACCCGTCACATGTTGACCCACGCTACACAGACACTATCCTGAACTTATTTTCCCCTCTGGGAACCGGTCCAGGACCAAAGGAGCTATGCTCTGCCGATGAAAACATCCCTCCCGCCTCTGCCGCCCCCACCCTCACCCCTTGCTCCAGGCAGCAGGCTGTTCACCTTCCCCTTGTAGAGGGAGGGCTGCTGGAAGAGGACAGTGGAGAGATGGAATGAGGGGAGGTTCTGAGCCCTCCCCCAAGTCCAGCAGCCCCTCCTCGTCCCTGCCCTCCCCCTGCAAGAGATGCAAAAGGACCTACACCCAGCTACCACCCCTATCGGTGCTCACTCAGCCTACTCACCTAGATTCCCAGGTCCCGGTTCTTGGAAGCCAAAAGGGCTAGGGAGGTGGCCCGATCTGGGGACTCCTCCTAACACTTAGGCTTCTAAGGAAAGGGCTGTCTGGGGGCACCTTCCTGCAGTCTGAAGGCCCGGGTCCCCCGGGAAGGTTACCACAGAAACAGGGGGGAAATATCACAGGGAAACACAATACCCGGCAGGGTCACCTGCTGACCAGGCTTCCTGCTGTGTTGCCCACCACTATCACCCCCCCCCCCCCCCAACACACACACACACACCATCTCATTGCCCTCATGGCCTCCTTCTCTGGCCTCAGCTTGGGCCTCCTCACCAATGCTCTCCTTCCTGCCTCCCCTGGGTTAGGGGAAGCAGCCTTATACAGAAAGTCTGCCCCTCTGTGGTTCTAAACACCACCAGGGATGGCCCAGAGCTGAGCCCCCTACTCCTAATCCTACCAACGCCCCCACCACAGGAAATCAAAGCTTCCTGCCCCAGAGGAAGTGCCCCATCTAGTGAACAAATCCAACATACACAAATGCACAGTCCTGGACAGATGCCCTCCTCCCAGCTCTCAGGCCTTACTCTGGCCGTGCTTCTAGCAATAGCTCATATGTCAATATAGGCCCCAGTCTCAAGTATGACTAAGAACACGCCAGGGCCAACGTGTGAGAGGTGGGCATGGGCAGGACCTAAGCCAGGCCAGGGGTGGGGAAGGCCAGGAGAATGGGCACCAGCACAGTTAGGTAAGGTCTAGTTCCAGCCCCACTCAGCCTACCATTCCCTGGCTGGGTGACCCTGGGCCTCGCCTTCGCTGATCTTCCCCCGGGCCCCTGCCAACTTCAGAATTACCCAGCTCTTAATGAGAGGCCAGGAGGAAGAAGACAAAGAGGAGGTTGGGGGTTACACCAGCTTCTGCCTTCCTGGTCCCTGACAAGCATGCCTACAGCTATACGAGGGTCCCCACTCCCCACCCCCATCACACAGGAGTTTCTCATTCCCAAGCGTTTTCAGTGAGGATGGGGGAGAGGATGGAGAAAGGCCAAGTCCCAACTCTCACTCCCAGAAGCCACCAGGGATGAAAGCTGGGGTCCACCCGGCTGCCTGAAGAAAGCTGGGGGTGGCATAATGGCCCCCGCACTGGATGCCAATCCACTTCCTTAGGGTCAGCCTCTCCTGCTCTGTGCTCTGGGAAGCGCACCTGAAATTTTGTCTTCATTTTACTGACGGGGAAACTAAGCTTCAGTGTCAAAGCAGAGCGATCAGTTTAGAGTCTTGGGAGGGTCAATGCAAGACCTGAATGCAATCTTGCCAGACTCGGGATCCCAGCCGAAGACCAAGTGGCCAGAGAGACACGGGCCCAGAGACTGAAGCTAAGAACACAGAGGCCTCAGAAGAACACTGCCCCAAGGCCATTCTAGATGTAACACCAAGAGGCCACACTGAGCCTGTCTCTCCCGGGGCCGGGCCGGGGCCGTGAGGAACATCAGAGGACTAAAGGCAAGGGAGGAGCCGCAGCGGGTCCAGACCTGGTTTCAGTCCAGGTTCACTGGGTACAACACAGCAGGACTGCTTCGTGCCTCAGTTTCCCTCAGAAGTGACTCCAGAGAAGAAGAAAATTACTTATTTACCGAGGTGGGTGGAGAGAACAGACCAGACAGTGAGGAGGATGAGATGATAAGCAATGAGGAGCTAGGAGTGGCTTGCGGAAGCCAGAGGAGGGGCTCAGCAAGTACAAGGGGGTCGGTGCAAGGAGAGAAGAGTGTGTGGCGGCCAAAGCACTTTAGGGACCTGGCCTATGGGGTCCTTAGTGGGGAGATATGGCCTGCCAAAGTACCCCATTAGTGGGGAGGGAACTGAGTCACAGTCCCCTTTCTTTCAGCCCAGTGGCTGGGCAATGGTCTTGAGGAAGGTCCCCGTGGGTCCTGGTGCAAGTTCTGGGAACAGGCTGATGAGTCCAGATGTCGAGTCCCCAGCAGGGCCACTGAGGGCCAATGCCTCATTCTCAACCTAAAAACTGGCAGGCGGAGCTGGGCCTCAAGCAGATGTTGAATGTGGGTGTGGGATGGGATGGGCAGCAGCAAGACAGCCAGTGTCCAGATGCAGCGGGAGGCCTCTGTGTACGCAGGACAGCCAGCAGAGACGAGGGAATGGCCGGGGAGTTGGTGGGAGGGGCAGCAGTGGCTGGGGAGGTCAGATCCAAACGGGCAGCCAGAGAGAAGGAAATGGGGCTGGGGGAACTGGGTGGCCTGTAGGCTCCAGAGGGCTCTCTCCTAGCCACGGGCCTAGAAATTCTGGGAGCCAGAGCCCAGCCCAGCTGCCAGATTTGCCCCCTGCTCACACTCCCTAGCACCAACAGACCCCAGGCCTGTGGGGGGGGGGGTGCGCACATCCTGTCCCCCACCCCTCAGTACACAGTCTGCGGTCCCCACCTTCCCGCACCGCTGCCCGCACCTCAGCAGCTCACTTGGGCACAGGTGTCTCTTCGCCCTGATGGGTGAGCAAGGGTGGGGGGCGGTGCTCAGCGAAACCTCACAGTCTCGGACCCTCCCTCCCGGGGATCCCCCCCCCCCCCCCCCCGCCAATCCGCCGCGGAGGGGTCGGAGTACGGCCCTCCCCGGACCCGCGGAATGGGGGCGCTGATGTCCAGCGCCCCTAGTCCGGCCCCAACTCAGCGGGTCCTGCCCTTTGCCCTCCCGCTTCCAAACCTTCCGCCCCGGAGCACCGCCCCCTCCCGGGGCCGCGGCGGCCGTCCCTCCCTCCCGGTCCACCGGTCGGTCCTCCCCGGGCTTGGGGGTGATGGGACGCCGGGCCTGCGCGCCAGCGGCCCGGGGCCTCCAACTCCCTCCCTCGGGCCTGTCGCTGCCCCGGGGCGGGCGGATGTGGGCGCCCCGCGAGAGGCCCGAGCCCTCCGGGCCCGGAACCGGCC